TTATTAAACCTGCATGAAAACAAGTTCATTTAAAAATTAGTCATACAGATAAGATTTTATTGATACTAAAATTCAGATATACTTACCAAATACAATCAAAAATATCTGAACATGTCTAGGACGACGGCGGGTATCCGGTATGTCACCAAGTAAGCTTTATGTGGCGTCATAGGCATCTGTGGTCATTATTTCGTTCCAATATATATATAATATATATATATATATATATATATATATATATATATATATATATATATATATAGTATTACAATAAGTGAAGAAATTACTAAAAGATATCCCTCAAACTTATTCACTCTAAACACGAATGGACGAAATAATGATCAAGTGATCCACAATAGAAAGCTCAGTGACGCCTTTGAAGTGAAGAAAGGAGTAGGAGAAGGCTGCCTATTATCATCCATGATCTTCCAGATTGTGGTCGACTGCATCACGCAGCAAATCGTGAGCAGCGAGAAGATGGGCATGCACTGTTCGACCGATGAAAAGACTGAAAGATTTGGACTTCGCCGACGATGATTTATGTCTAATATCTATCTTGTAGCTCAAACTTGAAGATCTACAGACAAAAACCAACAAAATGACAGAAAGGCAACGAAGGAGAATGGGTCTTCAAGCGAACTTAGAGAAGTCAGAGGTGATGAAAATACCCAACCAACAACAGCATCAACAACAAGCAATAATCACCATCAAAGGGAGAAAACCTAAAGGAAGCAGTCTCTTCCAACTACCTACATAGGTAGCATCGTTTCAACTACAGGCGGCACAGACGAGGATATCAGGATCGGAAAGACAGCAAGACAGGCTCCCCTTCATTTATTAACCTGAAATCAATGTGCACATCTACTGCACTCCACTCAGCATAAAGCGTGAACAAGACTCGGATTTTCAACACCAACTCCAGTCAAGTCAGTGCTTATATATGATTCAGAGACTTGGCGCGTCACGAAAAGTACTTCCAACAAACTACAGACATACATCATCAACAGCTGCAGCCTACGCTCGCTCACTTGATCGCGAAGATCAGATCAGATGGCCAGAATAATAAGAATAAGCCACAAGGAACTCTGGCTGGCTGGCTGGGGGGGCTGGCTGGCTGGCTGGCAACGAACCAACCAAGAACCTATCACTCAACAAATATTCAGAAGGAAGTGGAGATGGATTGTGGATACACTGAGAAGACCGATAGGGGGGATTACGCTCCAGGCCAGGCCGTCGAGTGGAATCCAAAGGGGAAACGACGAGTTGTGCGTCCCAAGTGAGGGTGACATGGAGGAGATCATATGAGGAAGACATGAAAGCTTTTCGGCAGTCGCGGTACCAGGTTGAAAAGACTGCAGTGAAGAGAGTGGGATGGAGGCCTCCTACTGAAACCCTATGTTCCACTAGGAACCCAAAGAAAAAATAATAATGTCAGTCACGTCACATAAAGCTTATTTTGCAACATGCCGGGTACTGACAGCCATTATAATTTCAATGTTTTAGTTCATAATACCAATCATCACTTGGAACAATCGTGAGACAACTATAATCCATCAGACTTGAGTATTACAATTTCTAATGATTCACCTTGCAAAACATAATTCAATTTTATTTCTCACATATTTTATAATCCAAATTAACTGTCAAAACTTCAACAATGTTATATATTGAGTCAGTAAAACAAGATTTTTGTTTCGACCAGCTACTTTCTTAAAAGATACTAAATTGATTGTGTTCACCTGTATCCGTAAGATAGACTTTACTTTGTGTAGAAATTTTCAACAAAATTATAGTACTGAAACGAGGCTTAGTGTTTGAATTTTGTTTAACTTAACTAACGTGTTTGATGAGATACAGAGAACGCATTTTAAAAGTGAAGAAACGTAACTTTCAGTTAGTTAGAAACAACCAGCAGGAAGTCATGAAACTAGGATTGATTCTTGTTGGCCTTCACTAGCAAGGCGCATTCGCAATCTCAAAGCAAGTGATGTCCAGCCTAAGATCCGAACATACATCACCCACTGTTGTAGTCAATGACGTTACCAGAAGTTGGAGACATGCCTTCCTGATAACTACCAACAAGCAAGAAATGTAGGTGCAGAATTCCCTGCTGGTTGCCTCCAACCAACTAACATACATCAATATGCATCACAATGGTGAGTTCCTAGCTTGGTGGCCACATAGCAAAATGACTAATAGAATCTGATCAGAACACAAGACTAGACAAAATGAAATTAGTTGCTCTCCAGTGTGACTAATCAATGTAGAAACATAACTGTTCAACCTCAAATTACACAGTTCAAAGGTCAGATTTAACTGATATACTGTTTGAAATCATAGATAAGATATGACCCGTTTACTTTTAATAGTCAGTGGAAATGAGGGCAATAAACAACAGAATATGAATCCGTAAAAGCGGGTTATAACACAGAGATTTACTTTTTCTCCAGGCCTAGGATCTGCACACGCAGATAACAACGCTATGTAAGAATACTACAAGGAATCCTGAAGGTGTACATCCTGGATTGCCTATAACTTCTGACTCAATTTATTTGCAATCTGATTGGTTATTCTCAGTCATATTTTCTTTCCTTACTTGTGACAATTACTGACCGTTTATTGATCAGGTGTGTATTTTGGCTACTGAACTCAGTGACGCAGAGATTCGGCATGGTAGAATCCTATCTGAACTTTCCATGTGACATGATTTGTCTGTGTATAGGAAATGAGTCATGAATTTCATAACTTACTGTTAAAATCTGCTACTACGGTATTACATTACCCTGTTTTGAATCTTCTCAGAGGAGTTGCGTTTACGTTTGCTGATGCAAGTCCACAGATTTCAGTTGGAAATTAATTAACCCACTACTGCCTGTAATGAGGTTTAGATTCTTGGTAAGTAATTAGGAATGAATTGGTAGCCCTAGATCATAATGCTTAACAGCTACTGAAGGAGAAAATAATTTCTTGGAAGCAAAAGACACACTTATCAGTAAATCACTAGTGTTGTCACTACTTGGTGTGCCTCGAAGCACATGGTACGACCGAGTTACTCAGACCGAAGTTAACCGCATAAGTTTTGAACTCGGTACTCATTGCTTGGAATTTAACTGTTTGAAATAACGAGTATCTCCTTTTGATGAACAGAAAATGAGGTAATATTCATTAGAAACCGAGATCACTCTTAGAACCATTGAAGCTAACTTGTCCTTGTGTGGAACTCTGAAGCAGTGGACACCCATGAACCCATCAGGGATCGAGCCCGAAACCGTCAGGACTTGCGGTAAGCATTATAGCCATTCAGACACCGGAACAGGATCTAGTGATTTGCATTTTCTTACTTGTGTCAATTAGGAATATAGAGTAACCATCATTTGATGCCATCACTGAGTATTTGTCCCTATATCCGACATGGTTCGTTCTACAGGTCATAACTTCTCGAAAGAACTTCAGGACATCTAATCTCGAACCATGTCACTGTTGAAAAATGGACAGTTTTTCACTTTGGGGGTTGACTGATTTGACAAGAAGTTAGTGGTGAAGATTCGGGAGGCCAGAAGACTCAATGTAAAGTATAAATGTAAGGCACAAGAACATTGGACACTTGGATATCGAACAGAAGATTCCTTGTAAACGCAAGTTTATTGTAAGGTTAGATGTTTTTATCAATACCGATCGCTCCATAGAACCCTCTTCGCACAAGAAAGAATTGATCAACAGTAATGTACGCTTCAATAGTTTACACTTAATCTATATCAAGAAGTTATACCAATCATAGAGAGTAGCAGAAACGGAGGTTTGATAGCCGATTGTTAAATTCGAGAATCTGTTTACTCATTAAGCCGATTACGATGATTTTAGGAATCTAGGATCCAAAGACAACTGTTGAGCATCTGAAATGTAAACTAGTCTTTATCAGATTTTCAGGTTAGTTAGTCTGTGTGACAGACCACCTACCTTTAAGTACCATTATCTCAGCTTTGCACGTCTTATATGTACCACTGAGAAAAAACCGCACATGCATACAGTAGGTAGCAAACCACAACTTTTATGTAAAGGCTAATGGTACCACCCGGCTGACGCAACCTCGTTAATTAGAATAATGTTCAAAAATAAAAACCACTGGTCGAAGGTCAATGGCTTTGGCCAACAGACCAGCTCAAGTGAAACGAAACAATATGTTGACTAGGTATTCATACCAACGCTTACCGACAGAAACTTTACCTCTCTCTTAAGTGAACTACAGGTTTGTTTAAAAATTCAATCAAAACTACAGAATTGTTTTAGTATACGACACTTGTTTGGCGTTAATTTCAAATTATTATCACCAATAACATTTTAATATATACAACCTAGAAGATGTGCAGACAATCAGCTCAATAGTGAGTAAATCAAATAAAACGCAGGTTCATTTATCAAGTGAACACAAAACACAAGAAGGTAATTTATTATTCGATTTAAAAAAGAAGAAAATATGCATTTTTCAAAAGTGATCTCCAAAGTGATTTCATTTTATCTGTTGAAAATTATCACTAGATATTTTTCTATAAAATCCGCCAACATACTGGTAGTGAAACTTGTTCAGTAAAACAAAAAAAAAATATTGAAACATTGAAACTATAATTGCTAGTACTTTTTGTGCATTGTATATCTTTGTGTGTCATAAGCATCTTTAAGTGAGCAGTCGATAGATGGATACAGTTGTGTACAAAATGGAATTTTCAATTTCAACATTTATTAAACTTGGTATAGTATATGCACTAGTTATACATCGACTAATTTGAAATATAATAAAACCACAAAATGAGTAACAAAACAAAACATAAGGTATCCAAGTTCAATGATCAAGTATCACTTTTATAAGTGATAGAAAAATGGAACAATCAAGATAATATATGCATAACAAAAATCGATATTTCGATTGTGTATTTATGAGATATGAGATTGTACGTATAGGTGAGTATTTGAGTATATCTGACCATAGAAAGGAGATGGACAACTCACACAGTGTACTCAAAACTACAAAACAAAATTTTATGAAAGCGACATAGATAAATATAAAACTTTTGGGATCAATTATCAAATAATAAGATTACTGACATAAATACTTGATTTAGAAACCCTAAATCACTTACCATTGACTTTGTAGATCAGTAGAACACACTGTACTCATAGTAACAATGATGAGAGTGGAAGAAAGTTTATGATGTTGAGAATGCTAACTGTTGATGCAGGGACGCGGTTGTTAGCAAGTTGAGAAGATCATCTATTGTAACAAATATGCGGATTGAGTAGTTGATAAAGTATATTCACTTTTCTTCAGTGAACTACAGCTTAATTTAGTCAGTACACTATTCAATAAGTTGGAAATAGATATCATGGTTTGTTATTTCCTATTACTTATTGGTTTCAAACAAATTGATCAGTATATGGGTTCGTGTGTAGCTGTCTCTTTATAGTCGATGCTTTCAAGGTTAGAAATTGTTGCTTAAAAATTAGATTAGAGACTGACTTAGTTCTTACTGCGATAAAAGTGTCTGATAACTGTTATGCAAAAGGTATTCTGAGGTATATAACTTGAGAAAGAATATAGTCATTATTTGAGTTTTGGTATGGAGACGAATTATATTTCAGAAAGGATCACCAAAAGCTTGACGTAATGTAAGTGAATAAGAAACTTACTTTTCTATGAAGCACTAGACAAGCTATGTAACAGTCAAAAGTTTGTTAGAAGAACAGTAAGTTGAGTATTTGTGTCTGCTTCTCTTCAAAAACACTCTGAAACACTTAAGTTGAAATGGATTATATCTACTCAAAACGTACATATATCGACAGCACTTGTAATGAAAAATCTACAAATGACTTCAGTTTTACTCCATGTTTAAGAATCCAATCATAAATACAGTAAAGATGTATGATGTTTTGTTTTACTCCTTGACAAGCACATTTAAAACACATTCTAAATCATTTTTCAATCATAAATTTAGTACAAACCTCATGAAAGTGTATGTTCATAACTTCTTGAAGTGTACTAGCTGTGACGACCTATATTTTAAATTATAACACCTAAAGAAGTTTATCCAGTCACTAGATTTATGTGTCTATGAAAGCTTTTCTCAATAATTTAAATCTGGATCAAAATTACCTTTTTGTAATCAAGTTTACAAATGTATAATATGAAAATGATTTTACTGAAAATAGAACTTTTTTGCAGAAACTATTCGTTAGTTTTACAGTAAAAGGAAGATTACTTAATCATATAAGTTGGTAAAAATGATAAAACGTGAACTTGTCATTAGAAACAGTCAATAGTCAATTAGATTGATAATAAACATTTTCAAAATTTACACCTTCATTCATTTAGCATAAGAGTTCAATAAAACAAAATTGTACAAGCAATGACCGCCTAATTCAAAACTTCTTCACATAAATGGAAGTTAATAAAAAAATTTTTTTCTTACAATAATTTATTAACTAGGACAACTGAAAATGTAATGAATCTTTTAGAAAATATCTTGTATATAGTCAAAATAATTATGACAATTAAACTTACCATTGTTTTGATCCAGCTGAGATTGCATGTTTACTATTAGTAGTGATATTGTTTTGAACTTCTGGTTTTCTTGGCGGTTTACTAGGTGCATTTGAATGTTTCGATGAATTTGAATGTGGAGTAGTTTTTGAGACGATATGTTGAGATATTGGAAGTGGTGGTGGTGGTTTTGTTCTTAGCGGTGAGGATAACTCTTGTGGTGTTGGATTTTCACGTTCACGACGTAAAAATATACTAGAATTCTCTGTTGTAATCATTGAAGGCTTGGTTGACTTATTTGTTGTCGGTAACCTATAGCTTTCATTGAAAAATTCTTGTCTAGTCTGTTCTCTCGAGTGCATTAAACGTTCACGTTTTTCACGTTTATCTTCAATGTTATCGCGTTTAGAAAAACTTGGCCTTGAATTAAATCGTTTACTTGGTACACGACGAAAACTCGGTGTACTACTAACTGTTTGTATTCCAGATTTACCAGGTGAAGGTGACATCTGACCAGATGATGTGACTGCTGCAGCTGGAGAATTTGACATTAGCGGTGAGGATGGTGCGCTGGGAGCATTTGTCTTTTTCCTTCTCCGGAAACTACTACTTCCAAACATATTCAAATTATGCAGTTGATACTCGGTATTAAATGATGGATGAAAACGTGAACGTAGTCGGAATAATTGCTTCCTTTTCGGTTCAACGGGTGCACGATCTGTTAACCGGAAGAAAGCATGATGTTCTACAGCACTTTTCCAGAGGATTTTACACATTTTATCATTTGGTAAGACAAAACAAAATGCATGCTCTGTTACTTGATGCTAATATTGTATGAAAAATTAAAAAGAGAGTTAAATTAGAAGAAAAACGAAAAAAAAATCACTTTAGATTTTAATTTTGTGTTAAACCACATTTGAAAATGAACACCGTGTGTAATTACTTAGTGTTCATCTGTCACCTATTGAAGTGAATAATCATGCTAGTGGTGTTTGATGGTTGGAGGTAAGACGTAGGAAAACATGACAGACTCAGATTGCTTTACTTTTAATGAAAATTTAGAAACACAACTTCTAGAAAATTCGCTTACTTACTGTGCAAGAAAATTTCTCCTTTGAAGGTTCTTTGTTAGAAAACCTATGGATATGTCACAGCCTTTGGTGGAGTATTAAATAAGCTATGTACGTCGACTGCTGTCGGTCACGGATGTTCACTCTCTCCATTCTTACTTACTTTCGTCATCATCATCATCATCAAGATCAACATAAAATCAGGAATAACTGCGTAATGGTCCAATGTTGCCACACTTCATATCAGAACATCAAGTAACAAGACAACGAAATCGAAGAAATAACGAAAAATCAGTCAAAGGAAGTAGAAGTAGAAAGTAGTAAAAGAGGGGAAGGAAGACTGAGATGATGAGATTAGGTGTAGCGGTTAAGATGGGGAAATGTGTGTATGCCTGTGCACTACTGACATCGATTCTGAGCCATATCACCTAAAGTCTCCAACCACTGGTTTATCTTGTCCCGTGAACCCCAACCGGCTAGCCTGCATCACCCTACATGCCTCAACCAGTAGTCAAGGACCTCGTGCATTGATGCCGTATTTTAGTCTGGCCGTCTAGGGCCTTTTTCCAGCCTGAATCTACATCAGCCAACATATGTGACGAGGCAGACTCTAGTTAGGCATGTATAAAACATGCGTTACACATCCGTAACACAGCTATCTCAGTCAATGAAGGTTCACAACTGCATCAACCATCTTACCTCTCCTACCTAAAACTCTACGCCTGACTTTTCGTAGAGGTCGTAATTGAAATGTCCATCTCCATATCTGACTTCAGTGAGGTTGACCGAGCTGTAGGTGACTCTTTTTGGTAGACCTAAAGCAGCCAGATTGCATTGTCCTGTTACATGAAAAGGCTGACAAGATACAGTCCCTCGAACACCCTGAGTGTTTCTCATCACCCAAATCCAAAGCATTACCGCAGGACAGGTTTACGCTGGTATCATGACCACGTGTAAGACCATCTCCGATAATTTCTACCTCCATCAACCACGGCAGTTGTCATATGGAGGAAAAAATTTGTTTATATTCATAAGAAAAATAAAAAGGCAGCTTCAGTGAAGATTCTAATAACTTTTCGACGTATTCATTTTCAAACTAGACATTTATTCGTAAGCGTTTAATCAAGGAATAGAAAGTTTCAGAAGCATTTCTGTCGCGAGTCAAAGTTAATATAACAATGAATATAGGTCCACGAAAGGAGTAAGGAAATATTACGTTGTTAAAAAATGTCTGGAAGTTTTTTAGAAATGTCCATTATTCGTGACACATGCTGACTCTTATCATACTGTGGTCTCATAGGCATAGTGTCTGTCCGCTAATGTCATTCTGTAGTATATCATGCTATTTTATCGTTGCTAATAACAACACGTGCTATATACCTTTACAACACTCTTCAGAACTTCATTACATACCTGTGATAAGGATTGTCTTTGTGCTTAATCTGTATAGTTAGAGTAGACCTATGAAAAACTAATACGAAAATCATCTTCGTTGCTTAGATATCACTAACTATTCTAACAAAATTCAGTGTTTTAAATGAATAATAATAAGGTATAAAATGATATGCAAGTTTTGCTAGCAATGAGAACTGTCTAAATGGTGATTGGTCAGAAATTGGCCAATCATACCAAAGACTGTCGAAGGTCACTAGATCACTACAGTCATTAATGACAGGCTTGTGGGTATAAATTTAATTGGGATTTAGAATTGCACAAAATTCCATGATTTTATTTATGAATATGAGCGACTGAGAGTAGTGAAACTATGAAAAAAAACATGTAGATATTTAATTTTGAAATGACTGCAATGTACTTTCCAGCACACATCGGCTAGTAAACCACTAAAAACTTGGGATTGAGACAAAGACATCAAGCTTAGTATTGAGTACATTACCGTCTAACCAGTTTGATACAGCTAGTCTCTTTATAAATTTCACAAAACGATAGTTCATTTAAAAATTGGGATGCACTAACACAAGATATTAAGAACAATCTGATAAAATACTTACAGTTCCAACATATTTATATGAATCATAATCAAGAATTGTTAGTTTAGATGCGAAGAGAAAAATAATTTATTCAGTACCCTTGTATCAGAGTTGAGTAAACAAGGTAGGTTTAATGTAACAACACACATAAAGGAGGTCAAACCTTCCGTATACGTAGAGCTTCAACAAATCAAAGTACATATCTAAAATCGGTTTTATAAACAGATTTGAAAGATGCATAGAAATATACCTTGTGACCAGTTTCAATGATATTTTTGGATAGAGACGAAGTTCAACATGTATTGCCTAGGTTAATGACATCTTCCGATTTAAGATTATTGTTGCATCCATGTGACTGTTGTTTGTTTACATCTACAGGTCCTCCATGCTTATGTGTGATAAACCCCAATGTTCGTTTGCTCTGAAAGTTTACAGGCATACATGAGCTTCGTTCTCTACCTGATATTGACCTTTGCTGGATAGTATTTTCTCTGGATAACTGCCTTAAGTTGTTGTTCGTTTATCAGACTTTGCAAATCGTCCATATACGGTAGCATGATATAGACAGATATACTGGGTGATGAATGAAGGTGAAATGAAAATTTGGACCATGACTATCTCAGATAATCAATGTGATGCTCCCCCTCTCCAATTCAGTTAGATTTCGATTGGGATGGTAAATCCTGACTAGGCAACCAGTGTGAATACTATCAAGCGGTAGTAACGCGTCACGAATTCACATAGTAGTCGGACAAAAACCCTTGGTGATTGAAGTAAAATAATATTCTAGTCAGTAGTCGGACCTCGTAGCTCAGCTGGTAGAGCGTCGGATTGGAAATTCGGTGGTCTCTGGTTCGAATCCAACCATGGCCCAAGTTTTCATTTCACCTTCAATCACCACCCAGTATAAATACTAATCTGTCAAACTACGGACATCTCAGATAGTTAAATGACAGACAAATATCTCTGTTTTGAAATAATTGAACGATGAATCTAATTTACTTGAACATTTCTCTTACAACTAAGAAATTTCAGGGGATAATTTTTTGACCCTAAAGTTTCATTTGTACGAATTCCTTGAATCTACCTAAACACGCACCTAATTAATGTCTGCTTTTATTGAAGTATAGAAAAATCATGTTAATTTAGGTGCTGTTTTGTTCATGCAACATTCCTATAGATGGATCGCACTGTTTACTCATTTTAATGATAAGTTATGAGGACATCGAAGAACAAAAGTGGGAACAACATCTTCTTTGTCGAAATTCAGTCGATTGCTCAAAATCTAAAGGTGAAAATTCCCCTATATCTATGAAATTTTGATGCTTGGCAAGTGTCATATAGTTTTACTGGAGAATACTTATCCTTCCACTTAACTTAGTTGACCTTTCAGGTCACTAGTCACCGTTAGAACCTCAAGACATTTATGTTGAAGTGATTCACTAACGACCAATGGATTGTTAATCGACTAGTTATCGACTGAAATTCAAAAACATTCCATTTTTCGCTTGGTTATCCAGCAGGCTCACAGAAATCTTAGCGTAAAGTGTGAGTGTACACTGTTCAGTATCATTCGATCATCTCCGGACATCTAACACCCGCTGTAGTTCCCTCACAGTAATCAACAGATTTCCCCACTACAATTCTATGAGGTTTCAAGCAATCATGTATACATAGCTCAGCAACCTTATTTAGCTTCAATCGTAAGTGTAAACAGTCTCGATAACTAGAACAGAAACTCAGTCGACTGGTTTCGACCACTGACGACAAAATACTTTGTATGTGGAAGCATGTTAGATAGCTTATCGTTCATGATAGATTCAGATGTTTGTTTTGCGTGTAAAAGATTATTGGAGAAGGGGTGATGAGTGAAGACAAAGTAAAAACCTAGGTCATGGGCGGATTCAAACCAGCAGTCTGTGGATTATGATCACAGTGTTTTACCAGCTGAGCTACGAGATTTTGGTCTATTGTCTACCTCAAATAATAGAAAATAAAACAACTGGCATTGTGTCTACTGCATATTTTGCACCGCCGAGATATCCGACTGCCTATTAAGGGTGGACTGTAAGTGCTGCAGTCCACTGTGTTCTACTGTATGGCTGTGAAGTATACGCATTGGAGCTAGAGGATATGAGAAGGCTTCTAGTATTTGACCACCATTGCCTTCATAGCACAGACCAAGTGTCGTGGTGTCACTACGTTGTTACTTCCGAAGTGAGGAGAGGAAAGTTGGTTGATGAGGTCATGAACTTTGATCGACTGAGCCGGCTAAGACATACGTTACACATCCCTACCCACCATCTGTCTCGTTGCGCAATATTAGGTGAAGTAGTTCAGATTGAAAAAGCGCTCATAGCGGTCAAACTAAAACATGACATTGCTATGTGAAGTCCTTGCCTGTTGGTTTGAGGCATGTAGGGAGATGCATACTAGCTGGCTGGCATCCACATGAAAACAGAAATCAGTGGTTGGAGACTGTATGTGAAATGGCTCGGAATCGAAGCCAGCGATGCATATGTATACACATATTATCTTCATCTTAACCGCTATACTGAATTCAGCATTTTCTCATTACTCCTTTCTTGCTTTTACTGCTTTTGACCGACTTTTCCCCTTTCTACATCTTTCATCTTATTACTATGTTACTTGTTGTGCTGATATGGGATATGGCAACTTGGATTAGGTCCTCATTTTATTGATTGATTTATCTTTTATTTACTCTTGAAAGTTAAACATTACATCACTCAGCTTCCCAGTCAGTCA